TTTTAATATCCTCTGCACTGGTTTTATAAGAAATGAAGCTAAATCCCAACAATTTGTACTTTGTCTGAAATAGGAAAACAAATAATTTTCATGAAAGGCATGATTGTTTTTTCATGAAACTATTAAACGTTTACCTTGGAAGACACTCACGCTTCAACTCAATCATTTAAAAATGTTTTAAGTAAAACAACATTCATGCCTTTATGAAGTTCACTATAGATTTAAATTTGCAAACATTAACACACTGCTTGCTGGTTAACCTTGGAGTCTATTAGCAGGCAATGTCGTAATGTGTTTTTTTATCAATAAGTATAAAGCATAGCAATGTACATGTACATGTATATATATATATATATATATATATTTAAATATAGGTTTTTGTGAAAAACATTTCTCAGTTGAAGCAATCATTAAAATAACAGCAAAATGATTCAGAACAACGAATACCTGGTAACATATTTTATGCATATCAGGTTTTTTTCTACAATTCAGCGGCGTCACCAAGTGGGGGAGATAGGGATCTCCCTACCAGGGTGTGGAGTTTTTGATAATTTTAAGTTAAAATGGAGCATTCTATGGCTTCCTTGGGGCCAAAATTACTATCAGACAGGTCACAGTTAAAGACTGTGGCCACATGTGATCCCTGATCAATAAGAATTTTATGGTTGCCCCAGGGTAAGAGGGCGCATGGCCATGGCAAGGGGGCGCATGGCCATGGCAAGGGGGCGCATGGCTGTGGCATGAGAGCGCTGCGCCCATGTTTCCTTGTTTAAACAAATCCCTGCATATAACATATTTCTTCACCTTAAGTGACTGACCAAAATTCAGATATTATTGTTTTCATTGTTATCAACTCCAGGTAAGAACTCTTCATAGATCTGAGAGCAAAAAATATTGCACCGACATTTTGAACAGGAAATATGACAATATTCAATAAAAGTATCCTTACCTGACAACTGCCAGACCATCATTAATATATTCCTGGATTTCAGGATTGTCTTCATACTGTAAACAAATAATAAGCCAGATTTTTTCATTTGATGTTTTGAAAGATGGTTCAAATTTTTTCTTTAGGCTACATTAGAGTACCTGGGTACATGTATTTCACATTAGAGTACCGGGGTACATGTATTTCACATTAGAGTACCGGGGTACATGTATTTCACATTAGAGTACCTGGGTACGTGTATTTCACATTAGAGTACCTGGGTACATGTATTTCACATTAGAGTACCGGGGTACATGTATTTCACATTAGAGTACCGGGGTACATGTATTTCACATTAGAGTACCTGGGTACATGTATTTCACATTAGAGTACCGGGGTACATGTATTTCACATTAGAGTACCTGGGTACATGTATTTCACATTAGAGTACCGGGGTACATGTATTTCACATTAGAGTACCGGGGTACATGTATTTCACATTAGAGTACCGGGGTACATGTATTTCACATTAGAGTACCGGGGTACATGTATTTCACATTAGAGTACCTGGGTACATGTATTTCACATTAGAGTACCGGGGTACATGTATTTCACATTAGAGTACCGGGGTACATGTATTTCACATTAGAGTACCGGGGTACATGTATTTCACATTAGAGTACCGGGGTACATGTATTTCACATTAGAGTACCGGGGTACATGTATTTCACATTAGAGTACCGGGGTACATGTATTTCACATTAGAGTACCGGGGTACATGTATTTCACATTAGAGTACCGGGGTACATGTATTTCACATTAGAGTACCGGGGTACATGTATTTCACATTAGAGTACCGGGGTACATGTATTTCACAACTATTTTGAGAATTAAAGAAATTAGCAGTACTATTAAACTATTTGCATTTACCTTTTCAAGTAAAGCTATAGCATCATCATGGTTTCTACAATAATGAGAATAAATATCTTCTAGTTCCTCAGAGTAATTGATGAAACATTGACCTAATGACAGAAAATTTTATAAATACATACAAAATTTATCAATATGCAAGTCTTGTAAAATAATCAATTTGCAATGAAGTCTAGAGTGAAAGTGTTTTAGAAAAAGAAATAATATGTAATATAATCAACATAGAAAACAGTTGAATCATTACCGGCAGATGGAGGTTATTTGGCATATTTAAACCCTTAAAAGTTAACTATGGATAAAAAATACTAATAAGAATTGAGCATGAGATTCGAAGCTGACTTCAATGGGTTCCATTCATTTCTGATGCATTATCTACCTTATAGTACCATGTACAATGTAATCCCACTGACCTGCCACCTGGTTCTCAGTTGGTTGCCTAGCAACATTCTCTTCTAAAGTTTCTAGAAATCTCTCAGATACATCAATGACTTTCTCAACATTACCAAACAAGATATCTAACTCTATTCCTTTGGCCTGCAAAGTCAAATGAACACGACATACATAGTTAGATCATAGGTATGACCCTGCTTCAATTAAAGTTCCCATTAATATTAGGAAGACTAAGTACAGCTACTTTAAATCTAATTCCAATCAGTTTGTATCTTCCAGACCAGTAAGATAGAAATCATTACAGCCAAGAAGAAATGTGCCAGGATTGGATCCATTTATCACATTTTTACCTTCTGGTATCTAGTTGTAAAAGTGAATATGAATAAGAAGCAAATTGACAGTACAGTCAATTACACATATATGCATGGAATGTACATTTATTTTTGGCTGGAAAGACCATTGTGAATAAATTATTAGGTGCAACAACAGAATAGTAGCATTAAAATAAATATACCAGGAGGAAACAGAATAGATAAGCCCATCACCTGAATAGAATAAAACCAGAACAAACCTGGACAAAGCTACCGGTACATGCACATTTAGGTGTATTACCAATAGTTATGTTTGCAAGAATTTTATGTATTAATCATGCAAGACTGAAATCATGATTTTTCCCTATTTAGTATCAAAATCAAAGTATTGTACAAGTCACTACATATCAACACAATTTTACACCAAGGATGAATATTTTGAAGACCAGAAACAATGAAAATGAAGAGCAGAGGATGGAAACACCGTCACCTAGGTTACAAGGAACAGAAGATCAATAATTAGTACTGGTAACAATAGACCTAAAAAAGGCATAAGCTGTAGAGTAATATAATGTAGTTGCATACACACATTTTGAAATATGCAAATAGGTCACTATGCACATGATTATGCAGTGACATGGTTTTCAGGTTCATCCATCAAAATATTTTATGACGCTAAGCTCACAGGTTGCATGATTTGGTAATCTAGCTGGTTTCACACAGAGTACAGTCACAGTGAAGGTTATATAGGTGTACAGTGTATCAAAATAATGCAGTTTAAAAAAGGTAAGAGTCACAGCATATGCCCCTTTGAATATAATGTCTACAATGTATATTGGAGGTATTGCCAATCACATGCAGGTGTAATTCAATCACATACAGGTAATATTTCAAGTTTTCAATATTCTATAAATTTCTGCTTGCACAATTTGAATTATGGGTAAGTGAAATTACAAATTTTAATTTATGATTAGATATTGGTAAGATTTGTAAATATCAGGAGTGAGGAAGACAAACAGTCAATTTTAAAAAAATGCTGCTCAGCATAGTTCTATTACAGACCGGTCTGGAAATGGATAGAATTTCTTTCAAACCATGCTCGTTATGGATAAATACTGATTCACAACTTTTAGACAATAGTCACACAGAAATCAACCATGGACAGTGAAGGAAATAATAAAAGTAAAAATCAATCTTGAACTAGTCCACAATAAATTAAACTAACTTCAAGTTATCGAAACTGATAACAACAAGAGAAAATTAGTAAAAAAATTGATTTTTCATTCAGACATTCTCTGAATTATTAAATGTACTACTATAACAATCTATACATCATCTGAAATCTCACAAATGTCTGTGAACCAAGTTTGGACCTAATTGAACTGCGTGAATATGAGATATAAGCCAAAATGTGATAAAATGGATGAAAATTGTGGATTTTTGTTATACAATATGGCTACTGATCAGCCATATTGCATTGAATCTTGACAAAAATCAACTCGCATCTTTGTGAAATGATATACTACCTCTGTACTGAATCTGAACAAACTTTAATAGTAAATGAACAAAAATAAGTATTTTTGATGAACAAAATGGCCCATTCCAAAAAAAATCTGCAAAATAATGCATGTGCCTCAGTATGCCAGGTGTTACCCATAATACAAGTCTTAACAGAATCAATCTCTCAATACATATAAAATGTAGGTTTTTAGGCTATTTTGGGAGGAAATATCTGCTCACATGTACATGTATCAACCATGTACTAAGTTTGGAAAAAATGAACTTCTGAGATAATGTGACAGACAGACAAACAGACAGAACCCTATTCATAAGCCCCTTGAATGTGTCCAGCCAGTGGCTAAAATTAAAAGTAATTCCCAA